CTTGGCATTGCAAGAGTTCAGTTCAAAGTCGCAAGTCGCTAGGATGTGGGCCCTGGGGGGCATTTCAACCCGCATCCTATATTCCTACACCGGAGACAAATCGGGGAGCTTGAGCTCCAAGCAAAAAAAGTGTTTCGTACAGCAAGGCTTGAAGCCTAAACTAGCAAAAATTACGGCCTGAAAGGCCAAGAGAAGCTCACGGAGTGCAGTTCTCTACCTTTCGTGGGCCTTTCCGAAAGCAGCCACCCTGAGGTCCTCCAGGCCAAGATGGTCAGGAGGCAGCGCAGTGAGGGATTCGGGGAGTCAGTGCTGACCGGTTCAAGGCGTAGCGGAGGGTGTTCGGGGCTTCTTTGCAGTCCTCGCGAAGGGTGTCATCGTCGCCCAGAACCACACTCATGATCACAGTCATCGTTAACAATCGTTGTCCAGCCTCTCAGGTTGCCAGGCTCGCCAAGGAAGCAGCCACTCATCAGATGAGCCCGATAAAGGGTGAACGGGGGATTTGGGGTTTTGTAGTTACTTAACGACTCGACGACGGATTTCGGTTCAATTAGGAACAAAAGATTGAACATGGATGGTGGTACCTGGCACATTCGATGTGTCACGTGCGACAAGTGGATCCAATATGGGCTGCCTGTCCTCGTGATGTGGAGTGATAGCACGTGTGAAAGCACGTGTGGTGTACATAGACTGGGCATCCGTTAGGATGGAATCCTGATGGTTTCCAGCGTCAGCTCGGCCAGCTTCGCTGAAGTGAAGCTGTCCATAATATGCCGAGCGAAAGCTCACAAATGTGACGCATGCTCGCCGTTAACGAAATCGAAAGGCAATCTGGTCTGTCTTATTGGCAACGGCCCGTGACCATCATGCATTGAGAGCTACTCGAGCTAGTGGGGTTGAGCGTGAATACCCAGATCCGGGGGAGTCATAATCCCCGTCGCTGGGTAGATCCTGGAGTGCCATCGCCGCCGAACGTGCAGGTAGGAGGTAGTTCAAGTAGTTCGGAAATGAAGGTTCCACATGAGCAGGACCTGACTGTTCAAATCTGCGGGAACTGGATCACTGGAACTTGCAGGTGACCGTTCAAATCCGATGGAACTGAGCCGACGTCCCCCAAGGCAGTATCTCGTAGAGCAGACTCGTCCACGTCCGCGACAGGCCTCATCGCATCGGCATGAAGCATGCCAGGCCGACTTCGAATCAGCTCGACCTCCGTGTTGACCCTTTCGCTGTGAAAGGGGTTATCCATCGGAAGCTGGCTCCGTCTAGTAGCTCCTACTGCTTCCCCTGACTCCAGAATGCCGGGGGATGCCTCTCCATAAGCATTCCTCCAGCCGCGGATCCACCCACCACCCACCACCCACCAC